CCTTTGTTTTTCTGCCTTTTAACGAAAGAATTCAGAAAAAAAACAAGCAGGCTTGAACTTATTTAAAGGGAGAAATGATTCTTTTAAAATAGTAATTTGACAGTATTTTCCCTTGTATGGGAACTTTTACTATTCCTAAAGTTAATGTCACAAAATGATAGTAATAATAATAACTTCTATTTTGAGTAAATCCTACCCACATATGAGTATAAAAGACAGTATTGAATCTGTCATTGCCAAATTACTAGTGAATGTATAGTTCAGTTTTGCTGTTCTTGAAACACAATACTTCTGAGTTTCTAATGGAATTTCAATGTTATTTTGGTGTGTTTGTGACCACTAAGCTGATTTCTTATTATAAAGCTGTTACCTCTATGAAACTGTGCAGGACTTCACTGAAAAGTCTGAAGATGACGAGAGAGAATGGCCTGGTTTTAACAGAGGACTTTTTTTTAAACAAAACAAAACACTTCTTACTGTGATCATAGACAAGAGAAACGATTCAAGTGATCTGTAGATTTTTCAATGAATGTTTTATGCCTGCTTGCATTTAAACTTGAAATGTATGAACAGAATGAGACAATCCTTAAAATCAGAATTGAGAAGTGTTACAGTTGAATAGCCTTGTGCTGTAGCAATAAAATGACAAAGTGCAAAAAGAAAGAAAGAAAGAGAGAAAGAAAGAAAGAAAGAAAGAAAGAAAGAAAGAAAGAAAAGAGAAAAGAGAAGAAAAGAAAAGAAAAAGAAAAGAAAAGAAAAGAAAAGAAAAGAAAAGAAAAGCTGGGAATGGGAGAGGTGCTCTTCCCCAAGGAAGAGCATACCAACTGATTGTCTAGGGCCAAACAGTCAACCCTGAAAATATACATGCAGGTAACATTATACAGACTGAACAGATTACACTTAGAAACATATATGCATATTAATACATATATGCGTGCAATAACAATTAGTGAAATAAGAGGCCATAAATTTGAAAGAGAGTGGAGAGGGGTATACAGGAGGGTTCAGAGGGAAGAAAGGGGAGGGGAAATGTTGTAATTAAATCATAACCTTAAAAATTAACCTTCTGAGGTCTAGAGCACTGGCTACTCTTCCAGAGGTTTTGAGCTCAATTCCCAGCAACCACATGGTGGATCACAACCATGTGTAATAGGATCTAAAACCCTCTTCTGGCCTGCAGGTATACACGCAGAGCACTCATATGTAAAATATGGATAAATAAGTAAATTTAAAAAAACTTTCTGGGATCTTATTTAATTAGTGAAAATACATTTAATAAGCTTTGTCTACATGCTCAGCCCTATTAGACACTTTGGGGACATGATGGAGATAACACTGGAACAGGCAAAGAACTCACCCTCACCAAACAGAACAAACAAAAACAATCACGTACTTAACGTGATTGTACTATGATTGTTGTACTATGCACAACAATCATAGTACAAAGTGAAACAGCAGAGACAGGGAGATCTCGGGGGCTGTATTCTGTGAACACCCATTCAGAAGGTGTGGGGTGTGAGTAGAGATCCAAAGAATGAGATCAACAGAAGCTGTCTGTCCAGGTCTTGCAACACTCACTGATCAGGATCAGCTGTCAAATTTTACCCACAGATTTTTTCTTCCTATACAGGTGAAGTTAAAATTTCTTTACTTTCCTTTATATTATTTGTGTCAGGGAGAGAGAGAGGGAGAGGGGGAGAGGAAGAGAGGGAGGGAAGAAAAGGGAGAGAGACAGAGACAGAGAGAGACTTGTGTGTGCATTTACATATGCTAAGGCATTTGTGAAAGTGCCATTGAAGGATACCTTAATGAGAGTCAGTGCTCTCCTTCCACCGAGTGGGCTATGGGTATTAAATCAGATCCACAGGCTTGAAAGACACTGCCTTTATGTGCTGAGCCTTCCCTCCAGGCCTAAAATTCCCTTGCTTTAGCATTATCTTTTGGAGTATTCTCCCAGGATCATTACACTATGTAAATATTTATCCTTTTCTATATTTGAAACTATTAATGTCTTCTACTTTAGCTGCTGGTAAAAATAAGCCACATGCAAACACTGGTTTAACCTTTTCTATATTTGATTACATCAGGAAAAGTTTCTTGTGGAAAATGGCTCATGCTGGTGTTTTTTAAAATGTAAAACTAAGTTCGATCTAAACACTTTTTCTGATGTTAATACTGCCTTTTTCCTAGCATATTAACAGGTTAAATGTGATGAGGGGGACAATAACTACTTGTCCTTTTATCTACATTATCATTCAGGAAGTCATGACTAAGACTTGATTTTCTGTCCACAAAGCAAACTACAATCTCTCCAAGGAAAAAAGCTGCTTTGAGGAGCACCCAAGATTGTAGAGAACTTCAAAGGTCATGACTCCTTACCTCCTGCTGCTGACCCACAAGCCACAGTCCTCTAGGACACACAGCTAGTTTAAGGTCACTGCTCACACTATAGCTGGTTAGCCACAGAGGTATAAACAACATCCTTGTTCCATGGTTTTTATTTCACTGTGTTTACTCATTTCTTTAAAAACCCATCTTGTATGCTGGATTGGCCCAGATGCAAGCACACTGTTGGCAGTGGGGTTTGGGGCAATATAGGCTGTGCAACAGCCTCTGAAGAGGCTGAGGCAGAGATTCTCCTTGACTGGCTATGGCTGAGCTTAGTGGGAAGTCCAGACCAGGGTTTACACCATCCCTTCCATACACACATTTAAAAATCACCAAAAGAGTCCAGGAATGACCAGCTAGACAACTGTGACCAAGGACTAAATCTACCATAAACAGTGAGGGGCTTGTGCAGGCTGTGGAGCTAGGGGTAGAAGTATGATCCTGGCAGCCTGAGAGCGGAGATGTGACCTGTGCTGTGTTGTGTCAACAAGAAACTATGAACAAAGATTTCCACCAACCTTACCCACACATACCAACACTGACAGCCAGAAAAGGACCAACTGCTGAGATGAGACCAAGGGTTGGGCCCACACCAGAGTATACAAGCAGCACAAATTGGACTCAGAGGGATATTAAAAAATAAATAAATTAGTACATGGAGTTGGAGAATAGATCTGGGAGAAGTTAGGGGATAGGAATTAGAGGTAAATAGGAATCAAACGTGTGAAATTTTCAAAGAATTAAGAAAATACTATATTTTTAAAAGAATTTAAAAATATAAGAGAAGAGTCAATCAGTTAATAAACACGGAGAACAGGTCCAGCAATAACAAGATCTCTACCAGAAATTTCAAGAGGAAAAGAGACAAATTGGAGAAAGACAGTAAAAGAAGAAGGTGAAAAATCTACATAGTTTGAGTACATCAGTCAATGAATGCAGAGAGAAAGAGCTGGGAGGAAAGGAGAAAGGAAAGAGGGGAAAAGAGAAGGGTGGAGAGATCAACAGAGATGGATATCACTCTCTGCTTAGACACAATGTGATTTATCTAGGTCTAAAGATAAAAAGAAAAGCTTAAGAGGATTAGGAAGGGGAAAATATGGACTAACAAGAATAAAAGGACTCAACTTTTACTGTGTTTTGCCACAACAATAATCTAAAAATAAAATCTTTGACTGGGGTTTTAAAATCTCAGATGTGAACTACTTAGAAGAACCATGTCTTAAGTAAAACAGAGCAAGCAGGATTTCATCACTGTGAAGAAAAACTCATTTAACAAAACCTGGGAGCGGCAAAGTCAGTCTAATAAACGCTCCCCTCTTGATCCTAGAGAAGCCATTGGGTATGAGTAAAGGAGAGAGACACTGGAAAAGGAACATGAAGGCAGAATTCTCAGCGGAAACCAATTCTATCTGTAGTGGTTTGAAAAGGAATGGCCCCCATTGGCTCATATATTCTAATATTTAGCCATCAGTGAGTGGCACTACTTGAGAGGCATTGGGAGGTGTGACCTTGTTAAAGTAGGTGTGGCCTTGTTGGAAGAAGTATGTCACTGGGGAGTGGGTTTTAGGGCTTCAAAAGTCCAAGCCAGTCTCATTGTCTCTTTTTTCCTTTTGCCTACAGATCCAGATGGGCATAGAACTATAGACTACCTCTCCAACACCATGTCTGCCTGTGTGTCCCTGTGCTTTTGACTGTAATGATAATGAACTAGACCTCTGAAACTATAAAAAAAAAAAACAACTAAATGCTTTCTTTTGTAAGAGTTGTGATGGTCATGGTGTCTCCTCATAGCAATAGAACACTGGCTGAGACACTATCCAAAGTCGTGATCAAAGAATATTCAGCACTTTTAGTTTCCTAAGAAAAGGAGGACCTGTATTAATAAATGTAATTCTAGCAACTAATGACTTTTCTGTTCTATGTTATTTTGATGTGATCTCACAGCAAGTCAAAATCACCAGAGTTCCTACTTGCACCATTAGAAAAGCTTTGAAATGCAGTGAACCAACTTCCAGTCACACCCATCTTAGAGAGCTGTCACAGTCAACCAAGATCATTTTCAGTGAACACCGTATTTGTGAGACAGTAGCTGACAGTGTTGTTGGCCAAGAGTTGCACCTGTGGAATTCTTGAAACTATTGTCAAAAATGTGTTCACCCATACTGGTAGAGAAGTACCACATGGCACCAGTATGCCACTCAGGTCAAACCCTAAGGGGATATGCAGATACCAGGAGTACCAGGATGGGCAAAATGCAGGCATTTAGGGATGAGCAGATGGAAGAGCCTGAGGGATCAGCAGACGCAGGAGTTCAGGGAGTAGAAAGGTACAGGAGTGCAGTGATGAACAGATGCAGGAATTAAGGGCCTCCTGCACAAGAATGTAAGTTGGAGTCCTCCTTGAATTGTCCAAATCCATCTCTACCGGCAGCATCCCATCATGTTAGATCAAACCCACATTTTCTAATCCTCTAATCACAGAAAGCTCAGATGACAGGACAAGGGTGCTACAGCTAGTGCATGCATCTGCATTCTGTGAACATGCCAGCAGCTGTCAGTCCTAGGGTCGGACTCATCTCTCTGTCTCTTCTAAATGGATCTGGAGAGTTGTTCCTAGAGGGAATGATGCAGCCACATTTTCAAGGCTGGGATGAAAATCAGAATGGAACCCAAAACTGAAACTGTCAGGAAGAGCCACAGGAAGATTCGGTCAAGAACTTGAGCCACAAATTTCCAGTCTTGCACTACCTGCAAAAGAGGAAAGGGAGCCTTTCATCAAGAGGCTGAGCAACTCTTCTGAACTCATTAGGGTATATATATAAAAAGAGCAATATTGGATTTAGGTCACTTTTTTAAGTTTTCAAAATGTATAGACACATCACTAATGGGCTTAGAGTTTATCCGGTAATGTTACTCATTGAACCCCAAGAAAATAACTTGCAAGTTAAGTGTTCAGGAAGATGCAGAAACTACAGAATTATTTGTATACTTGGAAATATTGCTAATAAAACACACAAAAAAACTGATTTTTATACAATGCCTCCTGGTATACCTATGAAACCAAATCACAAATTGGTATCTTTAGGGCATTTGTAGTCAAGTGTCACAAGATTTTCATCCTACTCCATATGTGGGTGTGGCTCCTATAGCTACAAAAGACAGCACTGAGGAAGAGAAGAAAGGACAGGCAGTATTGGAGCCTTTAGTTAGGCTGGGATGTTGTAGGAGAATGGGTACCAGGCTTGGAGCAGCAGGTACAGTAGGGAACAAACCATAAGCTAAGGAAATCTGTGAGATGCATGGGAGCTCACCTTTCAAGGGACAGAGTCCAGTTTCTACACATAGTCTCAAGCTTAAAGCAGTCACACAGGAAGCTTCAGAGTGTGATCACAAGAAAGAAAATACACTCAGTGGAAACTGCTTCAGATCTTAAAAGAGGAGGGAGGTGAGGGAAATGGATGGAGGAAAGAGAGGACTTTCTGTATTCTAGGGACACACAGTACCATCTCCCCAAGAATCTCCCAACAATATTGAACCTCATGGTAGATTGCCAGGGAAAACCAGGACGCTGTACAGGGAATCGATAACCAGTTGAGTACTGTGATCAGTATTTTCAGTTGCGGTACCTGTAGACAAGGATTTGGTAAAGATGGAATAAGCAGGAGGCCCACCCACTGACAGGAGGGGGACCGCAGGCTGTTCTGAGTTTTCCAAGTATAGAAACAAAACTGTAGCATAAGACACATAAGCAAGATACAGTAAAGTGTTAAAATGTTAACCTTAGGTAGTAGGATTATTAGTGATTGAGATCCTCTTGTCTGAGTTGTCCAAATTATCTGTGCTGATCATATTTTTAAACCCACTTAAATATTTATATTTGTATCTACAAAAGATGTAAAGAAGTAAAACAAAAACTACTTTCCTAATAGCTAAAGCATATCTTAAAAAACTGGCAATTTTCTAGTCTTTTTTTTTTTACTCAAAATTTTTAATTGTATGAGATAGAGAGTTAAGAAGGAAGATAAATCAGGCTGAACCTACAAAGATAAAATATAAGGCATGCTTTCAAAAACACTTTCCTAAACCTGTTTGTGAGCCTTGATCTAGTTTTTCAAGAATTTTAGAGTGAAATACCTGAACCCTGCCTGTAGATGGGGTATAAATAAAGGCTATTTCAGCCTGTGTACTGACAGATTGTTGTAATTTCTTCCTTGTCTGTTCTTCATTTCAGGGTTCCAGAAAAATGAAGTTCTGGCAAAGTAACATGTCACACAAGTCTGTGGCCAGGATGACGGTACCTCTGAAACCTGCGCATTTCTGTGTCTGAGACAGGCTCTAAATATGTGAGCAATGTTGACCTCAACTCCTGGCATCTTGTGCTTCCTGGGTAGCTGGAATTCCACTTGTTTTTCTGTAAAGTGTACACTAACTAACGATTTCCTTTTCCCTTGATGAAGTATCTGCTGTAACTAAACTTGTATTACTGTTCAAATTTTGATTCTTTCTAGTCACTAAAGGCATTTCTAAACACTGGGTTTAGAAACATCATAGCATGAAAAAGTGAAAAGTACCACAGACCACAGTAACCCATGTAAAGGTGTAACTGAATTCTTTAAGAAAGAATTGAGGATTTATGGAGAACAACGCCAAATCTGCAGCTGCTTGTTTTTAGTCTTTACACTTTTGTGAACATTTTTTTGTCCTAAACATTTAATGCTAAAATTCCTATGGTTTGTTGGGCTTGTCTTTATATAGTATATAGAGGCTAGCTGATAATGCCATTGTAAACAAGGACCATATTCTGTTGTAAGGGACACCAGCAGGACATTCTTGTGCACTCCTCAGTGACAGCACTACCACATCACAGTGGACTCACCTGGCTAATGAAATGTTCCTTCTTCACATGCCTTGAGATGTACCTGATAGACTCAGCTGCCCTTTCCAGGAAAGTGATCAGAACCTTTTCTCCATCACTGGTAGGATGTTTCTTTTTCCCTGAGACTTTGCCCCTCACTGCTGCTCTCTTCTCCTCTCCATCAGGGAAAGAGAAGCGATCCATGGGGTCCTTCATGCAAAGCCACCTCGGGAGTTTTTGCAGAAACAGCCTCTTCACCCAGGGGGCCATGGGATGGTACGTTGAAGAAGATCTGTGGTGAACGTTAATGACGAACACTGTGACAATAATTGACAGAGTAACGAAAATCATAATGAAGAGGAGGTACTCGCCAATGAGAGGAATGACTTTTGAAGAAGATGGGATTATTTCTTCGATTACTAAAAGAAACACTGTCAAAGAAACCAAAACCGAGGTGGATAGTGAAAGCTTTTCCCCTTCATCAGAAGGTAAGTAGAACACCAAGACTGTGAGAAAAGACAGCCCCAGACAAGGGATTATCAAAAAGAGGGTGTAAAATAATGGCAGGCGTCTCAGAACAAAAGAATAGGTCACAAACGGGTAGGAATAAAAACCTTCTCTTCTGTTGCCCTTCATCCCCTTTGCATTTAGTATCTCCCACTCTCCATTATCAAAAAAGTCTTTCCGGTCAACATTTTCATTGATCAGAATGAGGTCAACCATGCTACCATCATAAGTCCAGGATCCAAACTTCATTGAGCAGTTCTGCCTGTCAAATGGGAAAAAGGTGACATCCATGGTGCAGGAACTTTTGTAGCTGGCAGGAGGAGTCCAACTGATGGTTCCACTGGATCTCACAATGGCCTTGGTCATGAGGGAGCCTTCGAAACGTCCATCAGCACTGCCATGAAAGTAGTTACTCTTTAGTGGGTGGCCAAACACTCACTGTTGAGAGGGTTTCCCCACAAGTCCACTATCTATGCTGCATTCGTCACCTACCAAGATGTCAATCAATACTTCACAAACAAATCAATTTGATATATAAAGTTAATTATCCCACCCAAATCAGACTTTTCTGTATCCTGTGCTGATCTGACCAATGCCATACTCTAAGATACTTACTTTTCAAAGAGAACTATGTCAGGAAGCCAGAGAGATTCTGATGGAACCTTTATTGAATTAATTCCACCATACTCTTCAGGATTCCAGCGTAATTTTTGGTCTGTCCATTCCTGAATGAAATGAGTAATGAGACAATTTTATTCTAGAAATTCAGTACTTTAGGTCTTGGAGGTCTTCAATTTTCTAAGATTTACCAACCCACCAGTTTTTGTTACAAAAGGGGTTTTCACCCAGATTAGACCTTGGCATCCCATCTATGATTCAGTACGGCTTCAGGATGCAACGTAAGCCAGCCTGACCTCTGACCCTCCACCTGCTCATGTGTGAACCAGTGAAGAGGCTCATCACAAAGGAAATACAAATGACTTGCGTTTCCACCCTATTTTCTCTTAAGAAACAAACAGAAATGTTGTTTTTACTTTTACTCCTTACTCTTTACTCTTTTGGGGGCCTGACACCCAGCTCTCAAATAAATCACTCACACGGAAACTTACTATTACTTACGAATGCCCAGCCTTAGGTTGGCTTGTTTCTATCCAGCTTTCCTTAACTTAAATTATCCCATCTACCCTTTGCCTCTGGGCTTTTTCCTTCTCTGACTTCTGTATATCTTACTCTCACTCTTACTACATGGCTGGCTATGTACCTGGGTGGCTGGCCCCTGACATCCTCCTTGTTCTCTCATTCCTTCTCCTTCCTTGCTTCTTCTCCAGATTTCTCCCCCTATTTATTCTCTCTGCCTGTCAGCCCTGCCTATCCTTGCTCCTGTCTCAATATTGGCTGTTCAGCTCATTAGACCATCATCTGTTTAAGACAGGCAAAGAATCATAGCTTCACTGAGTTAAACAAATGCAGCATAACAAAAGCAACACACCTTAAAATACTATTCTTCTACACAGAAAAGTCACAGCTGTGTGGGAAGACGCAGGCCTCTAGTCCCAGTACTTGGGAAGTTAAGGCAAGAGGACCATGAGCTCAAAGCCAGCCTGATTTATACAGTAAGACCCTTTCTATAAAATAATATCTGATCTCATCCACTTTATCCCAGAAGAATTTGTCCAATGACATTTCAGTCCCTTGACAATGGGAATATATGATTTGGGTCTATTAGTATGAAATGCCCAACATCTCTGGCCATTGCTGATGGCATTGTCACTTTTGAAAAGTGAGAATGGATGGAAGACTTTCCTTTTATGGTTTATCTACAGTGTTTTTGTAATAAGCTCCTAATTAACATTTTAAGTTATGTCCCTAATATCCTGGGCCTCCACATGTTTATTTTTTTTCTTCAAGCATTAGAAGAGTATACCCAGTGTGAAACTTCCTGGAGCCCATCTATGTCATTAAAAAATCAGGAATTGGCAAATGGGTGACTTAATTGGATAGCAAAATATTGAAATATGAATGATGCCTAAGAAGTGCAAATTGCTTTCTGAATATTTATGTACCCATAGGTTTGTAAGGCTCTCAACCTTGGTCAAAGAAACTTTGTTTCTAGGAGATAGTGGTCAATGCAGGGACCCATAACTGTTCAGGCTGTTAAGAATAAGTGATTGTGCTTGGTTATAGATAGAGCATCTGTATCAACCTCCCCAAACCCTACCATCCCACCCATGGCTCAGGGAATATCACAGAAGAGGGGACAGAAAAATTTTAAGAGCCCCAAGTCAGGGTCAGACAGTGTCTTCTGGACATGACAGAGTGCGGCACTCCTAAACTCACTGTAGCTATGGTTGCCTACACAAAATGTGCACAGGATCAAGCCAGTCAATATTACTGTACAGACTGGGAAGGGACCCCAAGCTACCACCCCACCTTAGTAATTATTGACAGTTGGTGTACACTAAGGGAGAGAAAGAGAGCGTGTTTCCTTGAGGAGTGGATGGCCCCCACACCTATGCCTATATAGATAGCTCTAATCAAACTCCAAGTGTTATAGAAAATGAGAGGGTTGTAAAAAAAAGGGGGGGAGACATAAAACTGATTGGGGGAGCTCCTGGAAGGGGTGGGAGATGCAGAGAGTGAATACAGATAAAATGCACTGTACACAAGTATAAAATTCTAAAAGAATAAACTGAAAATATTATATAATTTAACTATCTTTCCTTTAGATTTGCTGTAATAGGAGAGATGAATACTTGATTTGATATTAAAAAAAAAACTGTTCACTCAAACTGTCTTTTTGTATTATTTCCTGTTCCTTCTGGCAAATCTGCTTACATGGATTTGTTTGGGGCACAAAGGACACATGTCTACTTATAGCTGACATTTCCATCTATGTGTTGCTTTAATAAATACTGATTTCTACCAAAGCAGTTCTAGAATGGATGGAGGAGGGGCTACTGAGGCCCCACTCCTGACTGCTGCTGAAGGAAGCAGAGGAGCTTTTCTTCGCAGTATGGCCATGGTACATGGTTTATACCCCAGTGGATGGCCCTATACCCATGCACATCTGGGCAGCACTAATGGGAGTTAATGAGTCATACATATTTTAAAAACAGGACAAGAAGTTAGAAGGGAGGCATGCTGGGGATGCTGGGCAGAACTGGCAAGTGGCCAGTGGATTCAATCAAGACCTAATGCATCTATATAAAGTCTTCAAAGACTAAAATGGTTTTTGTTTTTTTTTTAAGAAAATAAACTTGATGCTCCTCGATAATAGCAGTTGCTCTCTAAATGTGAAATCTCTCTACCTTAAAAAGAAGGCGTGGCTTTTGGGAAGCCAGACTCTAAAACATTTAAAACACTGTGTAACTGCAGGAAAACATGCATAGAAGACTAGCAACATAAAAGTTGGGCTAATTAAAGCATGTAGGATATTTTATCAGCATTCTCAGGCTGCTTTGTTTCCCACCCCATTTGGAAGAGCACAGGCAGCTCCCTCCTTGTGACTACCTTGTCTCCTGCTAAGAGCCTCTTGGAATCATCAGAGGGTCCGAGGGTCCGACGGTCTCAGAAATGTTGACACATAGTGGCATTTTCTGTTTCACTTTACTTGCCCCTCAGTTGCCACTGAGGAGTCTGTTCACAATAAAACCCCATGCTGCGAATGGCTCCAAGTGCAAACCCCATACAGTCAATAAAACGTCACCTGTTAACATCTTGTTCCTCTTGTGCTACTGCCTCTTGGGGGTTGGTGGGGCAGTTATTCAAGGTCTCTTTGTAAGCCAGGCTTCACTGAAATGCAGGCATGTCAGAGTTAACTCTAGAACTAGGGATGGGTAGGGATGGGGGTGGGGTGCTCTGTTTTCTGAAAGCCCAAGTTGCTGTGCGATTAAGGCTTGATTATGCTCTTAATGTTTAGCCATGTGGACAGGTGACCTTAATCTGTTAGATTTCATCAAAATATAATTTAGGTTTAACTCTTTTACAAGATATTTGGGGCAGCTAGCAAATGTGTTCAGAAGTTGCTAATGTGAAGAACCAGGTTGAAGATTGCTTTGTCCATGGATCTTCACAAGGAGTCACTTTGTCACAACTTAAAATTCTGTTGGATGTGTGCAATCCTAATGGCAGAAAATGAATTGGGCAGCAAAAGGATTTAACCTGTGTTTTGTTTCGTAAAGCTATCAAGTATTTTATCTAAAAGTAAAATGATGTTTGCCTGGCTTAAATAATGTTAAAAACAATTTGAAAATGTAAAAGATTTTCTGTGGTCAAATTTTAATACACTGACACTAGTTCTCTAGGAGCCCATCCCACATGGAGGGATACTCCCTGAGCCTAGACACAAAGGGGTTGGCCTAGGCCCTATCCCAAAGACTATGACAGACTTTGAAGACCCCCCTATGGAAGGCCTCCTCCTTCCATAGGGTATGGGATGGGTAGGGTGTTAATTGGGGGGGGGGGCAGGGGAAGAGGGGAGGGAGAGAGACCTGGGATTGACATGTAAAATAATTTTCTTTCTAATAAAAAAAAGGGGGGGGGAGAAACTAGTTCTCTGTGCCTGTCTTCATTAGGGTTTCTATTGCTGCCACGAAACACCATGACCAGAAGGGTTTATTTGGCTTACATTTCAGTATTACTGCTCATCGCTGAAGGAGATCAGGACAGGAACTCAAACAGGGCAGGATCTGTGAGGCAGGAGCTGAAGCAGAGGCCATGCAGGGGAACTGCTTACTGGCTTGCTCCCCCCTCCCCCAGTCCGGCTTGTTCAGTCTACTTTCTTAATAGAACCCTGGACCACCAGCCCTGGATGGCAACACCCACCAGGGGTTGGGCCCTCCTGCAGTGATCGCTAATTAAGAAAATATCTTACAGCTGGATCTCAAGGAGGTATTTCCTCAGCTGAGGCTCCTTCCTCTGATGACTCTAGCTTGTGTCAAGTTGACACAAAGCCACCAGTACAGTGCCTAAAACAATACGGCTTTCTTTTTTAAAAGAATTAGTGTTTACTTAAGTGTGTGTGTGTGTGTGTGTGTGTGTGTGTGTGTGTGTGTAGTGTATGTCACACCTATAATGGTGCCCATGGAGGCCAGAAGAGACCTGCGTGGCTTGTGAGAGTAGTGAACACATTTAATCAGAGCCATCTCTCCAGCCCAGCAAATAAGGCTTTCTTAAAAAATATTCCTCTGTTCCGGCTGGAGAGATAGATGGCTTAGTGGCTAAGAGCACCGACTGCTCTTCCAGAAGACTTAGGTTCAATCCCCAGCACCCACATAGCAGCTATACAGCTATCTCTAACTCCAATATCTGGCACCCTCACACAGACATGCATGCAGGAAAAATAACAATGCAAATGAAATAAAAGTAAATAAATTATTTTAAAGAAAATGTTGCTCAGCTCTTAGTAACATTTGCTAAACTTGTGCATCTTATGCTGAATTTGTAACGCTTTTGGCTACTTTGTAAAGTCTTTCAAAGCAACAATAGCTTAGAATACTTTATTGAATTAAAATCGAAGAGGGGTGGGTGTGTCTATAATGAAAAAGAGTTATGTGTCTGACTTGAGTTGAAAAACAGGAAAGTAAGAATAAGTTGAGGGTTCTTGAATTACACTCAAATAACAGGGAAAAAACAAAAAACAGGAAAATATATATTACATGGAAAAATGTAAATAAAACATTATGGAAAAGTTACAAAACTAAAGACATGCAACTTCAACTTTTCACGCATGCAACATGGCCAAGGAGCTCTCTCTTTTATATACCATGAGTTGTATGTCAATCTTTAACATGTAAACTGGCTGATAAAATTTGATAATTCTACTATTTCTAAGCAATATGATTCAGATGGAAAACCAGCCATTTCAGCAGTCTATTAATTTAAATGTTGTCTACCTCTATTTTCCCTGACTCAATGTTTTTACCATATATATTATGGTAATTATTATATATATATAATTCACTTGTACTTCAGAAAAGGATTTTATTGGCATTTGTTGCCCCTCTCTCTGTCTGTCTCTCTGTGTGTGTGTCTCTCTCTGCCTCTCTCTGTCTCTGTCTCTGTCTCTGTCTCTCTGTCTCTCTCTCTCTCTCTCTCTCTCACACACACACACACACACACACACACACACACACACACCAGGAAGCTGTTTTAAAATAAGTTGCTTCCTATATTTTTATAAAAATATTTTTTATTCTTTAATTACTATCATATTTACATATCCACCCCCCATTCCCTCGCCCTCCCATCCTCCCATGTTCCCCACCACCCCCTAACCCAGCCCCATCTTTTAAAATTTTAATATTTTAAAACTT